CAAAATGGTGGCGCTGTTCAAATTCAGGGTTAAAATCACATTTTACTAAAATCAGTGTCACCTGTTTCTTTTTAGTCTCTTTAGTAGATTACTAGAGAATGCTAAACGGCATATGTAGTTCTGACTTGTGGTTTGAATTCTATTTCTGTTAGACCACACTGCTCTGACATGTTCAAAGGATGAGACGATGAAGACAACCAGAAAGGTGCTGCAGAGGAAATACGTTCACACACACACACACACACAAACCCACAAACTTCCAGAGTGATTAGAACGTAAATAGAGCCCCGACATGGGCTAACCCCAGAAAGACTTCTCTGGCCAACCTACAAGAAAGTAGGAAATACAAGTAACCATGACAGCCACTGGGCCTACCAGACAGAGCTCCACGCCACTCCCCATCACCTTTCCAGCAGAAGGACTCAGGCTCTGCCTGCGTGTCCCACCAAGGCCGGCAAGCTGGGATCGTGCCTCCTGATGTACACAGCCAAGAATTCACAGGTGGCTGTAAAGCCGTTCAAACAGGGAACAAAGCGGGTGGCCCGGGACACCTACCCTACAGAGTTCCCCTACAGTCAACCAAGCAATAAATGAGAAAACATCATATAAACAAGGAAGTTCAAGCTACTCCCAGCCCATCAAGGGAGTTCTCCTAGTTCCATGCCTTTGGATTGGGATCTTCTGTGCTTCCCATCATATACAGACGTCCTCAAGCATAGGTAAGTTCCAGGCCTTTCATTGCCTGAAACACCTCTGCTATGTTCTGTCTCCGTGTTCTCTTCTAGCTTCTCTTCTCTAAGGCTGACTGATCTGCCAAGCGACTCTGCAACTCACCAACAAATGGTGACTCTAAGTCTAACCGAGAGACAGTGACTCAGAGGTATGCATGCCATCTGACCACTGCCCCTCTGTCTCGAGAATGTGGGAGTCCAGATGTGGCCTCAGCAGCTTTCGCTACACTCTGATGGAGCGGCTACAGCTAACTCCTTAAGAGTCGGAATCAGCAGCGAAACCAATGCACTCACATCCTCTAACTGTTCTGATGTGCTCACTTCACAAGCACAGCTCTACAGGAAACAGTGATTTGTCCAAGGTCACTTACCAAGGCCTCAGGAGAGCTAGCCCTGAGTACCCACAAAGCCACTTCTCATTACCACAGAGAAGACACAAACCATTATAAAATTCTACAATGTGAAAGTATTGAGAATTCTCTACACCCATGAAAAGCCAGCTTGTCTATACTCAGTCAAACGGGGCAAGAAAGTTCTCATCACCCACAAAGAAGGAGGAAGGAGTCTGAAGTCAGCGGAGAGAATGGGCCAAGGGCTGAGGCAAAGGTGGGGAAGAAATGTATCTGACCTTGGAACAGTTCACAACTGTTCCCAAATGGCACAAGCCATGGGCTGCGTGTCTTCTAGAGTCAGATGACCAGCCATCTTTGTCGGTCCGCCAAAGCCAGCCTTGTTCAACTCTACCTCTGTGCAGAGCTCAAAAGTATAAGCAAGCTGTTCCTCCTGGCTTGGTCCAAGTCAAACTATAAATCGAGTCCTTGAAATTTCAAACCTTATTAGAAAAAAAAAAGAAATCTCCTTAGGCAGAAAAGCAAAACATTAAGTAATAAGACTCTCCACTGTGAGAGGGAATATAAATTATCTTTCACCAAAATGACCCAGGCCATCATCAAATTACCACCCCTCAAGTCCAATTTGCCAAATCTTTTGGCCAATATTATATGAGTATGATAAACAGACGTGGACTAATAAAAATAGCTCCTGGATCCATTTCTGGCCACATGTCATCTGAGAGAGTAGACGCAGAGAGAGATGAGGCCCAGGTCAGCTCACACCTCAGTGACACCAAGAGAGACAAAAGAAAACTAGCCCCGCCCCCAACAGGACCAGCATGCACTTCTATTTCTCTATTTCCTACACATCAAACATGACGAGAATAACCAATTCTTTAGGACAGAAAAAAAAAAAAAAAAAAAGGAAACAAGGTCTACAAAACAAATGATCTGCAGGTCTGGCCATAAACCCTAACTACAGACAACAAAACAAAATGTTTAGCAGAATAGATCGTAGGAATCTGAGTGGCATGGCAGATTGCAGGCTACACAAAGGGATGGGCTGAAATATTTTCATTCCTTTGCACTAGAGATAACCTGTTCCCTTCAGCCCTGACTTTTTCTCCGACGCCCTTACCCAACTGTCCCTACTTCAGTCCCCCTCCAGTCCTGCTAAACTTGAGCCCACAATCTCAGGAGGCCTCCAGAACTCCTGAAATTATAAATTCCTTGACCGTAAAGACATTGCCCTAAATAATTCAACAGAAAAAAAATATTTTTTAATTATGCTATTTAAGGAGGAAAAAAAAAACTCATTCCAAATATGTCAGAATGTAGCCAGTCAACCTTGAAGGATTTTGTTACAAAAAAAAAAAAGAAATGAAAATTTCCCAAATGTACTGGTGATGATGGGGACTGTCAAACCCGTGCCACTGTTAGATTCATTTCGCAGAATTAGGAGCCCTTCAGAAACCCAATTAGCATAAGGCAAGGTTGGCAAGGCACGGACTAGGTCCACCAGGCCTCCAAGACCCGACGGCTGTTGCTCATGGGTCCAGGGTGGCCCATCCCCACCCCAGGTAACCCACCCCAGCTCCCACCTCAAGTCCTACAAGGTCCCCCCAACTGCTACCAACATACTCCTTTTGGACTGAAATTTTTGAACTTTTTTTTTTTAATTCAAAAAAAAAAAAAAATCTCAGCACATCCGACCAGACTCTGATTTATCACAAATTTCCCCTGTCTCGGAGCAGAGATCTTATTTTCATCTGTCAAATTTGAATCCAGTCGATATTTGTCATTTGAATTTTTTTCTTTTTGTCTCACCTCCCTTTGAGTCATCTTAAGGCCCAAATCTCCACATAAAATATTGTTTGTAAAAATGACTTCAAATTCCAAAGGCCAGCATCTCCTGGTTTGGCTTTTGTGTGTATTCTGATTAGTTTTTCTTTCAAAGAAAATAATAAATTTTGCTGCTAGAAAAAGCTGAGTTGGTGTTTTAGTCCATTTCTTCAGCAAAGTGTTTTTTAACCAGGGAAGATGGATACAAATCAGAATTTTCATCTCTCTGCCATTCTCTTCCATCTTATTTTTTTCTTGCTGGGTCAGTAAAATTTGTGCTTTTTTTGTTGTTGTTACAACCCCTCACTAACACACACACACACACACACACACACACACACACTCCCCAAATGATCAAGGCTGATGAATTTCTTTTCCTTTGAAAGTCATGAAAAAAATGAAAAATACAAAATATTAATAAATTATCCAACCCCATATCACAAAGAGACCTGACGCCAACACAAATTTTAAAATAATAATAATAATAATATTCTAGTTGAAAGAATGAACAATATGAAGAAGAAATTCTCTTTAACGAGGATTTGTTTTATCCCTATCTTCATCAATTGATTCACTTGCGTGCCATTAAAAAAATGGGCTTCTGTGAATCCACTGTTAGTTTTTCATAATAATGTTAATTATGCATATCTTATTTTAATGGCGGCCTCTCCTACAAATCTGTGGGCTACTCAGTTTGTACAATATATGAATTGACATTTTCCCCCACCGAATATTGCTCAAGAAAAGGTCCCTGACATTTTCTAGATAAAACAACAACAAAACAAGAAATGCGTGGACCTTGCAGCAAACAAAATCAAGAAAGAGTCATAATTATTCCATCAAAGCAAAACACACACACACACACACACACACACACACACACACACACACACACAAAACCTAACAAAAACCAGAAAAAAGACAGGCAGGATTTCACTCTAACTTTTCCAGTTTCTGCTTTTCTTAGAATCTTAGGAGTTAAATGCAGTAAAATGTAAATGAAAAAAATTTAAAGCTACAATTTTTGGGTGTGTCCAAAGCCAACATTTTAGAATCTATTTTCTCTTCTAAATCCTTCTTTCTTGGAAATGGAAAAACTTTGAACACTGCCAAATGGTAAAATTAGTCATTCTTGCCCACCGAGCAAAACAAGTCACAAATTACAATGAAACACAATTTCTAATTGCTTCATAAAGCCAATTCTCCCAGCTTTCCTTAAACTAAACTATTCCCTCCTCTCCTCATTCCAATTAGTTTTTTTTTCCCCCTCAAACTAAAATGACTTGGGTACCTAAACTGTCTTTGCTTTTAGGAGGTATTTTTGCTTTCTTCCCTTCAAGAATTGAATTCATTCAAATTCCAGCTTAATTTTCATTTACATATTATCTGGATTTGGCTTCAGAAATAAAAATTGTCTCCATGTTCCTTCAATGACCAAAGTGACAATTTTCACTCCAAAAAAGATAGAAAAAAAGAATCTTTCCCCTTCTCCACCGCCTTGTAGAGGAAACTTTGGAAAAAATAAGAAATAAAAAATATTTCTTTTCAATTTTAATTTCTTTTTTTTTATTATTTACAAAATAGTATCCTCTAGGTGGCGTCGTTTTAATGGGAAAAAAACTACCGTTTGAAGAAAAATTAGAAAAAAAAAATTGAGAGAAGGAAATATGGCCTTTAAAAAAAAAAATTGTTGCGAAGATGGGGGCCTGGAAGGAAAGCTCTCCTGGGGGGGTCACCAGGGACCCTGAGCGCAGAGAGGGTCAGGGGGAAATTGCAAATTTCGGGGGAGGGGGAGAGCTGGAAGAAGGTTGCATTTTCGCAAAATCTGAATTGTCCAAACTGCAATGGCTGCTCCGTGCTCTCGCCGCTTTGTTTCTGGGCTCCGGTCCGAGCTGGGGGCCGCGGGGGGCGCCCGGTGCGGGGTCCCCGTCAGCCCCGGCCGCCGCCCCCGCGCCGCCCGCGCCCCGCAGCGCCCCAGGGGGGCCGCTCCCGCACCCCGGCCGCCCGGCCCCGCTCCCGAGCCCCCAGCCGGCGCCCGCGCTCGGCAACCCGCGGGGCTGGCGCGGCCCCCGCCCCGGCCCCGGCCCCGCGTTACCTGCGGAGCCGCCGCGCCGCCCGGCTGGCTCATCGGTCCGTGCGGGAGGAGGCGGCCCCGGCGCGTCCTGCTCCTCCCGGGCCGGGCTGCGCCGCGCGCACAATGCCGCTGCCACCACTGCCGCCGCCGCCGCCGCCGCCGCCGCCGCTGCTGCCGCTCCCTCCTCCGCCCGCCCCGCGCGGGCCGGGGGGCGGGGGCCGGGGGCGCCGGGGGGGACCGCCGCGGGGACCGCAGATCGCCCCGCCGGCCCGCGCCCGCCGCGCCGCGCCGCGCCCCGCACCGCCCCCGCCGGCCTCCGAGCAGCCGCCGGCCCCCAGCCTCTCCTCGGCCTCCGCCGCCGGCCTCCGCGCCGCCCCGCGCCGCACACAAAGCCGCCGGTCCCCCGCGCCGCCGCCGGCCCCCCAAACTTTCCCGCGCCAGCCCCGTGCGCGGGGCATTTGCTCGTGTGGGGCGGGGGTGGGGGCACCAAAAAAGTTTTGGGGAGCGGTCTCTGTTGGGACAGAAGGGGTTAATGGGAACGTCTCTCCCCTCCCCAGTACCCCCCACCCCCCAAGTCAGATTGATTTTGAAAATAAAAGTTTCGAAGAGCGCAATTGGAGGACTTCCTGGGAATATTCGGGTAGCCCAGGCTGCCCCCGGCCCTCCTCCCATAAGTTTGAGAACTGAGGGCCAAGGGGACTCTCCCTAAGTCCCCAGGAAGTCTTGATTTTTAATTTACTATTTGAGGAGCCTCTGTTCTGTGTAATGTCAGTGAAGGACTCTTTTACCCTCCCCTGCCAAAAAATTTAATGTCATTTTTTTTTAAGCTTAGAAACTGGCCCTATGGTAAAAGGAGAGGTTGAAGGTTGAACAAGGGTCAGCCCCTCCTCCAATTCAGAAAAAGAAAATTTTGACTAAGGGCTCTTTCTTGAACTGAAAGGTGAAAGACGCAGGCTTCTAGGAAAATCCTAAAATACAAAAAACTTTTTCTTACTTGAGGAGCTTCCTTCCTGTGACTTAGGAAAATTGAAGAGGGTTAGTGTGTTTTGTTTTGTCTTCCCACTCCCCAAAATAGATTTTAAAAATAATAAAACAGAAAGGCCTGGCCTATATGGGAACTGGAGAGGGCCCTAGAGTCCTTCCCACAACTGGGTGAGTTTCAGAATAAGAAGTTGAAGAATCGCAGTCTACCAGATGAGAAAGGAACCAGCATGTTTCTCTACCCCCTCCCTTGAAAAAACAGTAAGGGTGGGGTTTGGTTTGGTTGGTTTGGTTTTATTTTTAATGGAAATTAAGGGTAGTAAACGGGGTGCTTTTTCCGACTCTACCTTAAGAAAACGTGTAGGAGTTTTTAATGTTTAAACAACAAAGTCCACTAGACAGGAAGGGCTCTAGAATTGTCCCCTGAGAACCACTTCTAAACCACCCCCCCCCCGCAACCCCCCCCACACACACACACACACAAATAATTAGACACCACTCTCCTGGAAGAATCTGTGGGAATGTGGCCCTCTGTGGAAGAAACTGGGTGAAGAAACCCAGGTCTCTCTCACACCCTGACCTGGCAAACAGTCACATGAGAAGTTAAGAGGAATCTTCTAGTTACTTCTGGAAACCCTAAAATCAGTGGTTCATTTAAGATTTAAAAAAAAAAAGTGGTGGTTTCTTCTCCCCCAAGCTTAACAAGTATGTTCCTGGCAGAGATCTGGCAGCATCTGCCAAGGCCAGTGTGGATCAGGTGTGGAGGAGAGCTGGCAGTGGGTTGAGCCTGGCAAAGCCCTTCGCTTACTTCTGCCAGGGAGCCCCTGCCTGCTTGCCTCTCCTCCTCCGGGATGCTGGAGCCTTGGTATCTGGAGAGGCCTCTGGTTCAATATCTCTCTGACCCACCCCGGTGTGCTGTTTTCAGAGCATCTACCAGGTCCAGGCCAAGCCCCGTCCTCTGCCTAAGCTAAGCCTGATAGGATGCCCTAGAATAGTAAGGAAGGAGTCTCGCGGTGTGTTTGTATCAAGAGAAAAGCCCTACTCTGAGATTCAGGAAAACTGGATGCAGTTAACTGTTCACTGAGCAGTTACCGTATACGTGTGTCTAGCAGGGCAGATAAGCCGTCAAGAAAAGCTTGGCCCAGCCCTTCTGGAACCTGAACCATCCTCCAGATTGGCAGGTCTCGCCCTGGAGTTTTTAGTTCATTCATTTGAGGTAAGGGACCAATAATTGACATTTCCATCACATTCTCGGCAGCTGCTTGCTTAAAAACGGCCCTTTTCAAGCCACTGTAGTACCTGGACACATTGAGGTGCAAGAGAAAGGGCCCAGTCCACTCCAGGAGCACGGCAAGGACTCCAGGAGAAGTTACACCTGACTGGCCTGTGTGCAGAGCATCCTCCCCAGGATCTTCATCAGATAGAGGGTCTCTCCAGAACAGAAGTGTGAGTTCATAGGTCCTTGCATAGGTTTAAGGATCCAGGGACTAACTCCTAAACAAACTTCGTCTACACGTCCATTTGAAGGGAGAAAATATTTTCAACCAATTTCCCAAAAGGGTTCGGTGACCCCCAACTGCGAACAACAGACAGCCTGTCACCTCTAGCTTGTGAAATCCTGTGTCCTCCTCGGCCTTTTCTTCCTGCTTCTCCACCACCCATAGGTCAGAAGACCTGAACCTCATCTGGACAGAGCTCCCCAAGAGTATCCAGCACACCTGCAGTGTGCTGTGATTTCTAAAAGTCTAGCCCATGCAGTCAACCAATTCATCCTTAGCAGGGTGACCCTGGCCTCCTGGCAAGCGAGGATGAGGGACAGGAATTCCATTGACTGCCTGGTATGGAGACCTCTGTCCTTCCTAAGCATCTTTTAGGGACTTTTCTCATATTTCTCACTTAAGAAGACATGGGGCACTCCCACCCAGCCAGCATGAAGTAGATGATGTCTCAAAGCCTTTTTGAAGAGGCCAGAATTGTCTACTTGAGGTCACAAAGGCGAGGCCAGAGCCAGGCATGAATGAAGTGGAGCCTTAGGTTCTGACTCTGACCCACGGGATTCCAAAACCTCACCAGTCTTGTGAGCCCTCTTTTGGTTATCATCAGCAGAAACAAAATCACGCTAGAAAGTTAAAAGTGAAAACATGGCTGGATCAGTAAAGTGCTAAGAACCTGAGTTTGTGCCCTAACACCATTAAAAAAACAACCACCAACAATTCAAACATCCACATCACATGGTACAGACATGAGGATCTCTGGGACTCACTGGACAACCCACTCAGTTTATTTGGCAAGCTCCAGGCTAGTTAGAGACATTGCCTCAACAAGGGAAAAAAAAAGGTGAGTTATACCTAAGACCTAATGAATGACACACAAGGTTGTTCTCTGACCCCATACACAGGTAGGAACATACACACACGAATTTAAAAATAGAGTGTTGTTTTGTTGAATTAAGGGATTGGGTTGTGGAATCCACGGGCTGGAAATAAAACAAAGCCAGAAGCTCCCTCTCATCTCTCCCATCACATAGGGACACAGGTCTCTTTAGTTTTATGCGCGCGCACACAAACACAGAGTCCTTGCCTCTCTGGGCTTGCAGTCAAATAGGTCGCCCACAGGTCTGCTTATGCCAACAGGTGCTGACTGGTATATTTGGGCACCACTCCAAACTCCAAAGAGAGAGGCTCTGATTGGCTAGGCCTGGCTCAGGTGTCACTGGGTGCAGATCATCCGTGACCAAGGAGAGGGCAGGGCTACTTGGTACACAGAGCCTCCTGAGACACCCCCTGATGGAAGCATAGGAAGGATGTGGCACTGGACAGACCCATCCAATGGCACCCTTGTGGAGGGACTGGAGAACTCCCTGAGATATTCAGCCCAGGCTGTACTCCGGACCGGCACTCTCCACAGCTCTCCTCTTGGAGCCTGTCCACATTCAGGGGTCAGAGTTAGGATGCTGAGGGAAGGGAGGGGGACAATTGTCAAGCTTTCACCACAGGCAGGTGTTTTGGAGACAGAAAGGTACAACATAGAGCCTGGGGGCCTGGCTAAAAAGCCTAGTGGGTGTGTCCACAGTGTGTGCTCCCGTGCAGCAAAGCTGGAGGCTGAGAGACGTGGAACAGAATGGAGACAGGGACTAGCAAACAGCTTCTGTGTGCAGAGTCTGAGGAATGAGAGTAGCATTCTTGGGAGGGCCCAGTTGAGGTGCCAGGGCTCCTGGAAGAAACTCACACTACAGTCTCGTACCTCCCTTAAAATGTTTTCAAATAAGTTGCAGCTTTTTCTGAGCACATAGGCCCCTTCTCTGAGGTAAGATGAGGAGGTACTTATCCCCATTTTAAAGATGGGGAAGCTGAGGCTTAAGCCCTGAAAAGCATACAGCAGCCAGCCAGACTCCTGCCCAACGTTCCTCCAGAACACCCCTGCTGCTCCTTCTCCGCAACCTTCCCATGACGGCCATCAAAATGAGCGGCTTCTCTCAAACCTCGTGCATTTCCTGGAAAATTTTCCTCTTTACCTTGTTGTTATCCTTCTCCTTCCTCAAAAGGGAGATCAACCAGTGCCAACTCACTTTCTAGGAAGGCATCCTTGCAGTCACGGTAGGGAAGTTTTGAGAGAAGCAGGTACCCAAGGCCTTGCCTGTGCCCCAGAGAAATAAGCCTAGGTGGAAAGACCAGAGAGAATAAAGATTCAGGACAGGGGCTGTGCAGACTGGAGAAGTCAAGCTGCTGGTCCCTGCCAGGAAGCAGAATTGAGGGCAAGTGTGAGCCGCCTGTCCCTGTATCCAACACCAAAAGCATGTTGTGTTTATGCATCATTCGGTGTTCGAGGCACTGTTCCTTGGCCTCTGCCATCCCATGAACCCCACAGAAAGCCCAGCATCCTAGTGACCTCTGCTTGCTTCAGTAGACCTGCATACAAATCTACACTCACTGGCCATCAACATTCACCGCTGTAAGTATCTTAATTTTTTTCATCTGTTAAATGGCCAAATCAAGGTGCCTATCACACAGGGTTATTTAAAGGCTTAAAGCAGTCATACTTTAACAAGTATAAGAAAATTCGCCGGGCGGTGGTGGCGCACGCCTTTAATCCCAGCACTTGGGAGGCAGAGCCAGGTGAATCTCTGTGAGTTCGAGGCCAGCCTGGTCTACAAAGCGAGTTCCAG